TGCGAGCACTGCGGCCGCACCTACCGGCACGCCGGCTCGCTGCTCAACCACAAGAACAGCCACAAGACGGGCTCCTTCTCCTGCGCCGCCTGCCAGAAGCAGTTCTCCAACCTGATGGCGCTGAAGAACCACCGGCGCATCCACACCGAGCCCAAGCGCTACCAGTGCCCGGACTGCGGCAAGGCCTTCCGCGTCTCCACGCAGCTCATCTGCCACCGGCGCGTGCACACCCGCGAGAAGCCCTTCGCCTGCCCGCTCTGCGGCAAGTGCTTCTCCAGCAAGTCCAACCTGCGGCACCACCAGAAGGTGCACAAGACCCGGCAGGCCGGGCTCGGCCTTGGCCTCGGCCTCGGAGCCCCCCTGGACGGGGGCTTCGCCGGCCTGGCGGGGCTCGGCTCGGGCGGGCTCGGCTCGGGGGGCTTCGCCGAGTGCTGACGAAGCCTGCGTGCAGCCTCTCCGGTGGGTCCGAGAAACTGACTCCGGGAAGACAGGACATCCCTGGGATCCTTCCCCTCCTCGAGGCCTTGAATCTGCCCGGCTCGCCCCACCTTCCCTAGTAATTTAAAAACATGAGTTTTTGTAAGGGCTGGATTTTGGATTCTGCATAATCGCTGACCGTGGGTGGTCATCCCTTGTACTCTCAAGAATCTTGTTTGTTTGTTTTTTTTTGAGGGGGGGGTTGCACATGTATATTTTTATTTATTGTTTGTTTTTTTTTAATTCACAAAACATAAACGGCCTAGAGGGACATCTGCCTCCGCGCAGAAGCCTTTCCAGTTCTCTTTACCTCGGCGTTGCGGTCCTCCTCCGTGCCGTCCCGCAGGAGAGACTCTGAGTCCGGCAGCGGCTCTCGCCAGCCGGCGCGGCGCGGTGCAGCGGCGCCCCCCAGTATTAGTGCCTGAAAGACGAGGGGCTCTGCGGTGAGGGCGATTTCCCCTCCCCGAAACTCTGAACCGGCTGTACAAGTCTCCTGGGGTGAGACAGGTGCTTCTGCTAGCCGTGTCCCCTGGGGAAGAACAAATGACCTTTGAGTTTGTCCTTTGAGAACTCCAGTCCCCCTTCCTCCTGAATCGTGGCTGTAGACGACACTTCTGCTAGCGATGTCTGTGTCTGAGTTTTCAGCAGCGAGGAGAAAATGTTGTTGCAATAAAATAGATGGGGGTGGGGGAGGGGCTTCCCCAGCCCTGTCACGAGTCTGAAGAGCGAAGTTTCCGATTACAGCTCGTGGCGAGTGTGATTTTCCCATGTGTTTGTGTCCCTGCTGTGAGAACAGGAGAGCGGACGCAGAGTCCAGTGTGCTCATCTCGCTCGTCGTCTTGTATAGAAGTGTCCCCTGGGTTTCTTTCAGCTCCTTCTCAAGAGAAGCCAGGTTATCGTCTTCACCGACGGGGCTGGGCAGCTTGTTCCACACCCCCAGCGTCCTTTGCGTATAGGTTTGTGGAACAAGCTGCCCAGCCCCGGTGTTAGCTGATGATAACCTGGCTTCTCTTGGGGAAACAGCTGGCTGCGATCCTCCAGTCAGGACAGATGTACGCAGAGAGTGGTGGGAGTGTCCTTGAAGCTGATCCTCTGGTTTCTTTCAAGAAACCACTGCATGAGATCCTGGGAGGATGGCTGTATGATGAAACCTCTGCGGGCGAGCCTTTTGGAGTGGGGAAGGCGGGTGCACTGGGGCAGTCCCACTCTCTCGCCCACAGAAGCCAGGGTCCGGTGGTACCAGTAGTCGACTGGAGACTGGAGACTTCCTTGGTTGCAGTAGATGGCCATGGCGCCTTTCTGAGTCTTGTCATGACCTCTCTTTCCACGGAGCGTTGCAACAGTATAGTGTCCCCATTGCTATACTGGGACATTAGGACCCACACAGACTGCAAGGTGAGCGCCCCCTACTGGCCCCACTAGCACCTCTTCCAGCAGCAGCCTCAGCTTTCCCAGGAGTCTCCCCTCCAGGTTCTGACCAGGCTCACACCTGCTGAGCCTCAGTGAGGTAAAAGTGGGGTCCCTCTTCTTGACGTCTCTTTGTTGGTGAAGAAGGGGGTTCAGTGTGCACATAGTCTCCTCCCCTCCCCTCTTTGTAGAGTGGCTCACTTCCGCCATGAGTTCCTTAGGCCTCTGGAGAAGACCATAGGTGACTAATTCATTTTGGCCTAATTAAACTCTTCTCCCCTGCTCTTGATCTGTTGTGTATTCACGATGCCTGCTGAATTTTTGAGTGACTTGTGCTTGTGCAATCCATTTGGATTAATGAGATGAGAGGGTGATCCTAGTTTTATAAACTTCTGCTTTTTTGGCCCAGTTACATAAACCTCATGCCAAACAATATACATATATATTTGCACATTTAAACTGCTGAGCAAGTCAAGGGGGTGTTGGTATAACCATTTACTGTATTTGTGTGCAGAAACAGAGACCAGATCTGTATAGGAACCAGTAAAGGTTGATTCCATGTTGAAAAGAGAAAAGAAGAAAAGAAACAGTGTTTTGGCTGTGGTGTCTTCTTCAGGTGTGATGAGGGCTTCGGGTGAACACCCGAAGAAGGCTCCACAACCGAAACGTATGTCTTTTCTTCCCCTTTCAGCAGGGAATAAACCTTTACTTGTTTCTTTGCAGCCTGCGCATGCTGCTGCAGCTCCCTACTTGAGCTAGATCTCGATATGTGTAAATGCTATATTCGGAGCTCAAGGCGGTCAGGATGCTCCAAGCGCTTCATCCGTTCCCTATACTGATGGAAGTGAGGAGACTGTGCCACGCCCCCCCCGCGTAGAGTGTTGGTGATTGGATGAAGTGTGTGGTGGGGGGCGTGTCTTCCTCGACCTGTGTTCTCTATTTCCATCGTCATAGGGGGACGAGCCCCTGAAGAATATGAGTGCATGTCTGTGGATCATTAATACCTCCCGCACTAACCCCCCACTCCCCGGCAGACTGCCAAACAGAGCTAGTTTTCCACCCGCTCCAAGCCAGGTTTACTTCAGGTTTAGTAGAAACTGGTGTCCTGACGCTCTCGGACCCTCAACATATCATCAACACGAGGTGTCGACTCGCCGCACGATTGAAAAACAAAAAAAGCGATACGATAATTCCCAGTTGTTATTTTTATATGTTCTAGTTATTTTATAGAAAGCAAAATCTTACTGGGAATGAGGTTGCCTGTCGGTTAATAGTACTGTGAATGTCATACCCGTGTGGAAGAATGAAGTCAGCCTAAATTCACGTCAGATTTGATTGTTCTGTTCGATCTGTATGAACAGACAAAAATTTAAACGGAGGAGCCAGCTGAGCCAAGTAAAGCCACGAGACCGGTACAACTCTGACTAGTCGCGGCGGTCGGGAGTTCAGACCTTGCAGGGCGCCAGTGCAGTGAACCACTCTGTCCACTAGGGGGCTCTGTAACGCCACCGAGTTCTTTTTGTCATACCAGGGAAGGGGGCGTTTTATTCTGGAAACAAGCTTTTATTACACTATAAAAGAACATAAAAATCAAAGTCAATAGGTTTGCGTCGGTCTTGCAGTATTGGTTTTCTGGAGAAATCTTCAGAGCCAGTCATACTATAAAGCTGCAACAGCTGTGGAGTTGAATATTTCCATCAATGTAGAATTACTCAGATAAAGTCAGAGTCCTTTGCATGTGTTTTATATACCTCTTGTATACCTCAGCAAATGTCATTTTAGTCTCCCTGTCTGGGATAAACCGCTGAAGCCCCTGCAGGAAACACAAGACATACGAAGGATGTGAACAAAAGGTATCTGCTGTGATCTGGAGGAAAGCAAATGCCTTGATTCAAGCCAACACTGAAATTCACCATCTCGACACACGGTACACAGTGCAGGGAACGATCCCGCAAACCAGTCAGGAAGTAAGTGTGCTTGAGAATATTGTACAGTGACCAGGGCATGGTGGAGGGGATCAGGGGACTGTAGATCTCCAGGTGTCAGTGTGAACAGGAGTGTGGAG